GCAGAACTGAGGATCTGTTCAGCGGGGTTCTTGTATTATGCCAGAGCAAAAACAGGCTTTTCTTCAAATTAATATTAGTCTAAAGAGGTTTTTATCAAAATAAATTCAATAAATCACACAACCAGGGAACACAAACTTTGCCAGTTTGAAAACTTCAAAGGGATAATAAAATAAAACAGATCTGCAACATAAATGGTAGCACTTTCATTATTTTGCATCAGTGTGACAGATGACAAATAAAATTTAGTGAAGATCAGAGCTGGGACAAGAAGTGGGTCATTAATATTTGATCAGCTGTGTCGACGACAGGTGGAGGTGTTTACATTAAAAATGGGAACGATACAAACAGGAGTCCGGGTTCGTTTCGGAAACAAACCACTAAATACGTTCCAACTGAAATAAAGAAGGAGAAAGGATCATTCATCTGAGGAGGAACAAAAGTTACACAATCAGAAAGAACAACAACAAAAAAAAACATAATAAAAACAAACAAAAAGTCCTCTCACTGTACAAAAACATTCACGTATGTTAGAAAAATCCAATTAGTTAAAGTTAACCAGCAATATTCACTTCATCTACAATCCTAAACAGAACCAGGACCAGAACCAGGCTCAGGACGYGTGGTCATCTGCCTCCACTGGTAGGTTTCAGAGGACAGTCGATACATTTATACCTCATTAATTTTGAATTAATTACAGTCTTCATGTTAGGTAGAAAAAGCAGCAGCAAGGACCGGGAGGTCTGGGTCTCAGCTCTGCAGAAGAAGCTTTAAGTGTCTGAGGAAGAGGAGGAGGAGTGAGTCTAAAGCGCCCAGCAGGTAAAGATCTAGTGTTTACATTGTTGCAGTGTGCAGCCTGCCACAGACATGCAGAGATTTAACTCATTTTACATGGTAAACTATAATCAATCTAAATAAATGATCACAGYAAGAGACCAAAACATAAAAAAATAAAATCTCTCCTTCCATAAAGACATGCAAAACATGATTTATTCCAATCATTCATACCATTGATTGTGCATATTAGTTTTTTCCTTCAATACTGCAWTGAGTACATTTAATTTATCAAAGGAGCTGCTGTTTCTTTGGATGCGTGTTCGACAAAAATCTGTATTTTTGCACATGTGAGAATCAAAGTAATAGATTTGAATGTGAAAATAAATAGTTAGTTACAGAAAGTCTTATAAAATACTCTTACTTGGTTGACTAATATGGAGGACCAAAACTGACATGATTAGAAATAAAAGCAGAAATATATAAATGGACCAATAAATACATAAATACACTTAAAATGCACCAATTAAATTTAAAAAAGGATAACTTTAACTTATGTTTTATCATTTACGTGACCTTCATATTTATTTCTCCAGCTTAGTTCCAATAAATTATATATTTCAGCACATTATTTTAGTTTTTCCTTTTACTTGTTCATTTGTGTCTCCTAAATATTTATATTTATTTTTTAATAATTTTACCCACAAGTCTTTTTATTTCCATTTGCTTCTTTTACATTTTTCTGTCTCCTGTTTTTACTTTACCTTATGCATTTCTGCCTCATTATGTAAATAAGGTGGGCGGAGCTTCTTATGTCAGCTCCTCTCGTATTGGTCAACAGACAGGAAGGAGCAGGATCCATGTGCAGATCTACTGCTGCTGCCTCAGTTTAGCTTAAAGTTTAGTTTAAAACAAAGGCACAGCTAAGTGTTTTCCTCCTTGTCTTTGCTTTAAAGTAMTTATATATTTCTGCTTTTATTTCTAGTTATGTCAGTTTCGTTCCTTCATAGACAAATATAGATAATAAAATTTAAAAAGAAAGCTAAATCTGACGTGTCTGAGGGTTTTTCAACAGGCTGCACACCCGGGGTCACAGTTCAGCAATGAACCTAAAGCAGCCACCAAATGCTCCTCCTCAAGGAGTTAAAAAGCATTTTTAAAGCAGCTGCTCCATGTTAAAGATCTCCACAGTGTACCATTATGTGAATGCCAACAAATAAAAGCTAAATCAAAGCCAAAAACAGGTGCAACTGAATAATAATAATAATAAAAACAGTTAGTGAGATAATAAACGTCGTGTTTTTATCTCACGTGAGAAACTGAGAGAAAAAAACTCAAACTCCTACATTTGAATGACCAAGTCTCGTGGGGAGGGAGGGTCGACCCCCTGGCTGGGCTGTTCATGCATATTGGCACACAAGGGGGAGAAATGTACAAGTTACCCATGAGTCTCCACCCCACAACTCCCAACTGGTTACGTTGAAGTTGCGGGATCCACCTACTCTGGCGTGGCAAGAATTTGAACGCGGCTACGAGCAAAAAAATAAATAAATAAAAAGGTAAAAAGAAGACAGAAGTTTCTTTTTTATCATTAAACCCTTTTCACATTTACTTGTTACATGTTACAATGTAAAATACAATTACTATTATTGAATGTAGTGATTTAGTCAGATAATATTCTACAGAAAACAACCTGTTATGTAAAAGATATCTTCTTTTTCTTTGACCTTAAAGACGAGAGAATTAAAAATAAAGTTATGTTTACCTTGCTTGTGGACGCCTTGTAGGTTGTTTTCAGCTTTTGAGACAGCTGACTGGTGCTGTGGCTCGCTGTTTAAATCACGTCCGAAGATTAGAAAAGCAGGTCAAGAGTCAAATAAAACAAGTTTTTTTATTTAATGAATTAAATGATTACCTTTAGTTTTAAGAGCTCCTTTTGCTAAATCTGCTCCTTCAAACGTTTGACCTTCTGCAGCCAATCGATCGTTCAGCGTGTCGATTTCTCTGCGCACTGAAAGTCAAACGTGCTCACGTTACGCAACATCAAACAGGAAGAGCCTTTGCTCTTACTCTTCGTACTTCTTATGCTTGACAGTTAATAATTCAGTGTTAAAACATGAAGCATTTGACATTAAACAACCAGTGGATGTTGGAGAAAAGCATTAACATCTCAGTCCAAAACAAAATTACTTTAAAAGTCTGCGTTACAGTCAGATCTGTTTGGTGATAACTTACGTTCTAAGTTTTCTAAATACAGGTTTTCAAACTCCCTCTCGATCTGACCGAACAGGTCCAGCAGATTGCTCCTCAGAGCCAGAGGCAGCTTCGAGTCCTGCAAGTGAAAAGAAAAGGWTCTTTAATGATCTGGACGCATCTGAATTTGTCAATGAAAAAAAAAGTTGCGTGCACCAGATATTTTATGTATTTTAATTAMTATTTGGGTACTACTAATGTAAATGTTCCACGATGTTCCAGTAGAGCAGCAAAATGAGAGGCCGAGCTTCCTCTGTTGAGGAAACAACTTCCAGAAGCCTTGTTCAAAAATAGAAAAAAATGTAAAAAACTGCAGTGGTTGGAATAGTTCTGCTACACTGCTAATCTGCTATTAGCAGAACTAGCTTCTGATTTAGCAGATTAGCTTCTGGAACTCGTTAGCAGATTGATTAGCTGCTAATTTTAAGTCAGCTAAAAATTCCACAGGTGTAAAACTTTCATTTTTATGCCTTTTATCCTGATTAAATACTAACTATCCCCTTTAACAAGCAGGGCAGGACCTGTCAGGCACCGTGTATGTAGCAAGTAGCATCTTTAGCAGCTAATCTTCAAACTAAGAGCAAAGCTAGGACTGCCACAAACGATTATTTTTATAATCGATTAATCACCGATTATTTTTTCGATTAGTCGACTAATCAGGTCATACATTAATTGAATATAAAACATACAGCTTTTCATGCCCGAATGCAGCTGCTATTATATAACCATGATTAGATTTTAGCTATATGCTAACTAAAAATTGCTGTGGAAGGTAAGTTCTGCTCTGCAGATATTACACAGGTTTCTCTTTCATTTTCTTAAAATGATCCCACACTTTGAGCTCTGTTGTCAGGTAGCCATGATACCAGAGCCTGTCTGTATAATGTCTTGTGACGTCCACGGCCTACCCCAGTTACCACTACTGTGCATGTGTGTCAAGGACAGAAAGGCAGATGTGGCAGTGGAAGGTGTCAAAGCAGTTTGGAGAGAAAAACAAAGTAAAGAACAAAAAAAAACCTAAAAAATTAATCAATTATTAAATAAGTCACGATTATTTTAATAATCGATTAGTCGTCGATTAATCGATTAATTGTGGCAGCCCTAAGCAAAGCTAAAACAACAGTTAACAATATTTAAATAAAAAAAACTGACTACGTATAAAATATTGTAGAGAAAGTATTTTTTGAATCTGTGTAGCGTTAGCAGAACAAAGGTTCTTGTTTAACAGATCAGAGGTTAGTGAAGCTAACCTTTTTTGGTTAGCTGTGCCCAAAACTGGAAAACTGACACCTGACCAGACTGTGGATGAGTTGATGCATTAAAATTCACTTCAATTTAATTCTTTATTCATTTCATTAAAACAAAACAAATAATTTTATATACAATATACAATAAAAAGAAAATATAAAAAGAAAAATTAGAGAAAAAATATATATGTATATCAAAATGCATTAATGTGTCAAATACATTCAAATATCTAATTATGTAAAATCACTTCATGCCTCTGAGATATTTCATCTACATTCACTGCAATAAAATACACAAAAACTGAATGTTGCTCTTTTCACTGCCTCACCTCCTCACTGAACTGCAGCACAGATTTAGTGATGTTCTGCACAAAATCTGATACTTTACAGAAACGTTATTTTCAGCCCACATTTCTAAATCTACAACTTCCTTATTTAAAAAAAATCCATTGAGCCATCTAGTTACAGCTTTAAAGATCTTTAAAAACATATTTTTTTTGCTGAAAGAGGATATTTATTAGTTTCATTCTAATACGATTTATCCCATCTGTTTTTATTTATGTGTTTATGAATCTCAATCTATTTTATAAAGTAATAACAGCAGTTTAACATTACTTACAGAGTGGAGAACAGGAATGACACAAACATGAAATAAACTCCATTTCTTTTCACCAGTCAGTCACAATGAAAGTGATCAGATTCGCTCCTGAGTGTTGTATTCTGAAAGAAGGCAACTTTTTGAGCTGAAGTGTTGCTCGCAGCTTTTTTCTCCAAAGAAAATCAGTCAAGTGTGACGGCAGTTTTAACAAACTGATGATGGCAGCTGGAAAGTTAGTGCTGAAAACGGGCTTATAAGAAGTGCAGCAGGCAAATGGTATCTTCTTCTTTCAAATAAACTTGTCAAGTCACGGGAATATCTAGAAAAATCACATTTTTAAGGGATAAAACAGAACTGGACCACCACACAAAACATCCTATCAGTACTAACCAGACCCAAAGCTACACAACAAACACGAGCTCCAACAACTACCTGGGCTTTGACTCTACTGTCTGAAACACAGAGGGTTAGGCACCTAAAACTTACCTCCGACCTCGGAAGGGAGTCCGGATAATCAAAGGACTGGAACCAAAACGGACCAGAGTGAAAAGAAAAATACGTCATGAGCAGGGCTGCATTTGGCCAGAACAAACGCTAGCAATGATTCAAACACGAAACAGCTCCAACGTCCATCTGCATGACCAGAAATTCAGCTTAAATGTTGAGAAAGTCACACAGATAAACCCTTTATTTTTCTATATAAGTTATAAAAGGGATCCATGATTAGTTGTAACATTAGACTTTATTTGATGAACATTTATTAACTGTAAAAATACTGTAGTCTGTTTAGTTTTTATTCAAATTCAAATATATTTTATTGATCCCAGAGGGAAATTA